CGTCCTTGTATGGTGCCCCATGGCATTGCATGGAGCCCCATTGCATTGCATAGCGCCCCATGGCACTGCACAGTGCCCCATAGACTGGCATGGAGCCTCATAGCATTGCACAGTGCCCCATAGCATGGCACGGAGCCCCACAGCATGGGCACCTTTCCCCTACAACATTGCGTAGTTCCCCATGGCACAGAGCCCCATGGCATTGTATGGTGCCCCACGGCATTGCATAATGCCCCATGGACTGGCACAGAGCCCCATGGCATTGCACAGTGCGCCATGGCATGGAGCACAGCCCAGTATGGTGCCCCATAGCATTGCACGGTGCCCCATAGACCGGCATGGAGCCCCACAGCATTGCACAGTGCCCCACAGTGTGGCACGGAGCCCCACAGCATGGCCACCTTGCCCTACAACATTGCGTAGTTCCCCATGGCACGGAGGCCCACCGCGTGGCACGGAGCCCCATGGCGTTGTATGGTGCCCTGCAGCATTGGGTAATGCCCCACAGGTTGGCACAGAGCCCCACAGGTTGGCACAGAGCCCCACAGCATTGCACGACACCCCATGGCATTGCACCAGTGCCCCACAGCGTGGGAGCTGTGGCATGGAGCACGGCCCAGTATGGTGCCCAACGGCCCAGTATGGTGCCCCACGGCCCGGTATGGTGCCCCACGGCCCGGTATGGTGCCCCACGGCCCGGTATGGTGCCCCACGGCCCGGTATGGGGCCCCACGGCCCAGTATGGTGCCCCACGGCATCGCACGGTAGCCCACAGCATTTCAGGATGCCCTTTGGTGTGACACGGTGCCCCCCAGGTCCTGGCACGGTGCTGCTGACGCTGCCGCGTGTGCCGCAGGTGCTGATGGTTCGCTTCGCCTCGCTCTTCGACGTGAAGGAGCAGACGGTGACGTTCATGAGCCGGACGAAGTACAGCCTGGAGGAGCTGTGGGGCATGGGCATGGGGGACCTCCTCAGCTCCATGTTCGAGTTCAGCGAGAAGCTCAGCGCCCTGGACCTCAGCGACGAGGAGCTGGGGCTCTTCACCGCCGTCGTCCTGGTCTCGGCAGGTGGGAGCTGAGGGTGGTATGTGGGTCCTTGGGGGG